TTTTGGAGAGCATATATTCCCAAATGTTTCATGTGTTTATATACATACATACGCACACACCCAATTTGGTTCTTCTGGTTTGGAGATATGTGCCCAGGCTGATTTTATGCACCCATTTGTACTTATTATTATTTCTACACTAGGATTCCTTCCTACCACTTCATTTTCCACATCTGTAAACTAAGTACTCTTTTGAAGTCAGAGAAGGAAATTTTCTAGTGATACAAGGAAAATGGACCCTGGTACACTTATGTGTACAATGTACGTTTCATCAAAATATTTACTAGCTGAGATTAGAAATTTGCAAACCAAAAATTAGATATTAAAAGTCTAATTTTATCCCACAAAGGGCAAATAAATTATTGTAATAGTGAAAGCTTAAATTTATAAAGCATGTATTTGAATATTCTTAATAGGTCCATTGCACATGATTTAAGAATTTTGGCATTCAAAAAACCTTGTAATATATAAATACTTAGGAGCACCTCTTTGTTTAAAAAATAGTCTGACACTTTCTAATTAAAATAACAATCACTAGGTTTTGTTCATGCTAGGAGATTGCTACACGAGGACTTTATTCTGTTTTCTTGTCTGTTCAGAAGTTTTCATAATAAGAAATTTGGTTTTTTTAATCACACAGTTAATACCACATTCCTGGGATCTGGACCAAATCTAAAGTGCTAATATTATACATTTAAATATAAATAGAAAACATTGTGGTATCTGGGTCTTCCAAAAAGAAAAGTTGTTAATAATGTTAGGACAGCTCATGGAAAATGAGGGATTTTGCAGACCAGAACAGGGGGAAAACTGCTCTCTTTCTACTTAATATCTACAGGTTGCCTTTATGTAGGTCATCTCAAAAAGCCAGTAATTTTTCTTGCCCAAATGATCTGTAAGCATGGTAAATGTTGCCACTTTGTATACACCAATAATGCAAGATACTCATAAAAGACTTGTAATTTTATAATAATTTCTGAAATTATTAAATTTGCTATTTAATTCAGAAATGGAAAGTCTGTACTTACAAGGGCTAACCTTTCTTGTAAGCGTAAGTAGTAAATTTTGGCTGAGAACTTTAATCTGATTATAACCTTCTTATAAGCATGACTTGAATAGTAACTATGGCCTGGGAACTTTAATCTGGTTATATCTGCTGTGCCATTACATGAAAGGAACATGGATAACAACATTTCAATAGATACAGTTCAGAATACAGAAGCTCACAAAAAGCATCCCTACTGCTTTAATTAACGTAGATACCCACCCCTACCCCAATTTAGGGAAAAAGGATCTCCTTACCCCTAACAGTGCTGCCAAGCTAGTCATCCAGTTTGTGTTTCTGGATGCTAGCGCCCTATTTCTATAAAGCGGTAAAGCATCATTAAGGCAGTTCCTTTCTGCCCCCAGGTGTGGTACTGAGAACATTTACAAACCAATAGTTCATAAAGGGAAGATGATTTATTGCTATATTTTAAAAAGGGGATCATCAGAGTTACCTTAATTTGTCTCACAGAAGGAGCCCAAGAATTTAAAAAGTTTACTAGTATTGTCAGAGTAAACTAAAAAAGGAAACAAAACATCGGCTAGCAGAGGAGAGGGAATACGGGCGCATAAAATAGTATAAGAACAGCTATAAAGTGCCACTGAACAATGGAAATTAATTTACTTACTATTTTACAGCCACTTTGCAGAAATAGTAATGAAACAGCAAATTAGCATGGCGTGTGAAATTATGATTGCATGGTACAACATCCAAGGGATAGAAGTGCTGTACTTCAGTCCTACAATAGGCTTATTGTGACTTCCTGTTTTTCTTTGTAAGGTAGAACTTGCCTCTGTACATCTGGGCCCTCTCCTTGGCCTTGTTCATTTTACTGCCCTGTCTGTTGCAATGCTGGGTCCGTAATTTGGTCAAGTGACCTTGGGAAAATTTTAGCATGGGAGTTCTATAAAAGTAAACAAAAAATTCTTTGGTACCCCTTGAAAAAAATAACCATTCTTCTTAAGTAATAATTTAACTATGCTTATTAAAGTTAAACAGTACTAGATAAAATTGTTTGTCGTCTTCTGCAATCCTTTCAAATCACATTAATCTTAAACCAGAAGATTTTTAAAATATTATATATTTTTTCATAAGATTTCCCTGTGTGGTACAATGGAATCATTTTGGGGGGAAAAAACAACCAAACACTGGTAAATACTTGGATTATCAATTCCAAAACTCTTTGCATTTATTTTAGTATTATCTGATAGTCATGTTCACTATATACAAAGCTGGACAAAGGAGGAGTCTGCTGTATTATTCCTACTTTTCCAGGTAAACGTAGCCATAGAACAATTCTCAGCTTCCTCTTCACCAGGCCCACGGCCAGTCATTTCTTCTCCTCTTATTTAAAGCTTTGTTTCAGCCTGATCTCCCAGTTCTCCCAGCCATTCTTTCAGTTCTGTCCCACAAGCCTCATCCTTAGGGTGCCGTTTAACTAGCTTGCGCTCGCTCTCACTCTCACTCTCGCTCTCTCTCTCTCTCTCCCTCTCTCTCTCTCTCATTCATTCATTCATTCATTCATTCATTCATTCATTCATTCATCTTTTTCTCTTAACATCCTCTATTGAACAACTTGTAGCACAAGGAATAATTCATTTTGTGATATCCCTGTTCTCAAGTTTGCTAACTAGTGAAACAGACTCCCTCACATATACCTTGGTTATCTGCCTCCATACATTCCATGGCACGCCTCAAATCTAGATAGTTCCCATGGTCTACTTTCTCTAGTGCCAAGAAAAAGCCACAAAACCATTCTGATTGGTTCCAGTACATTGCCTGCTTTCTAGCCTAATCCAAACTCTCATGGCTACATGGAAGCTTTCGTGCGGCTTTTGCTGACTTACCACACTTTACAGCAGAATTTCCTTTCAGGCTCCCAGCTAAACAGGCTCCCAGGAAGTGAGTCACTTTTTATTACCAGGAATAAGTCAACTTCCTGATAAGGGTATCTTGGAATTTCCTCTGTATTTTCACTTTTTCTTGTCCATCATTTCTTTCTCCTAAGAAGAAAAGGTTCTTTCCCCTTGCCAGACTAACCATCCCATGTGTATTAGGTTTTTTCCATCTCCTCCTTTTCTCCTCAGCATAGTTTTTCATCAGTTTTCCCCACTGTCCTTTACAACATCAGTCTTTTCCAATCACCAGGCTTATTATCCGCTGCCTAAAGTCATGCTCAGGCATCCCACTCTTCCCAAAAGACCCTGGTTCAGTCTTTTTTAAAATTTCAGTCTTTTTAAAATTTTTCTTCTCTCAAACCCCTATAGTAATTGAAAGAATAGCCTGTACTCATTTTCTCCATTCCTTCCCTGCTGGTCCTTCTTTAACCCTTTCTGATTTGGCCTCTGACTTGCCTGTACAATGGAACTAGCCCTCTCAAAGGTCATTAGTGACCTCTGTGTGACATTTATATTCATCCACTCATCCATGTTCATTCAGAAAATGTTTATTTTTGTGCTTGCTAGCAGACACTTGGTAGATACTAGAGAGACATCTAAAAAAGACACAGTCCTTTTTGTCAGAGAGTTTATAATTTAGGTAGAGGAAACAAGTAGAGAATTATTAGGCAGTGGAAGAGTTGCAACTAGTTATTGTAAAACAATATGAAAGTAAGGGAAGCATTGTCCAACTTGGCCTGTAGGTGGTCATGAAAGCTTTTATGTTGAAGCTAAGGCTTCTCTTACAAGAAAAGGAAAAGTACCCAAGTTAAAAAAAAAGTTGGGGTGCAACAGCATTACTAGCAGGGACAGTATCTTACAGGAAGGAGCCTAAAAGTTTATATGCTTTTGGTTATAAATTTGCAAATTTGGAATATGAGTGCAGAATTTGGGGAAGTGGATGGCAGAGACCGTTGGAACAAGGGTTTTACCTGCATTGAGTTTTTAAAGTTGTACTTAAATGTTTGTGTATATGCATGTTTTGGGGAGTGGGAAGAAAGAGGTCTATACTTTTCATCTGTTTCTAACGTAAATCTGACTTTTCGGTATCCATAGCCACTGCTCTAAATGTAGTTGAAGATCAGGTTATAAAAGCTTTGACTGTCAAGCTAAGGAGTTTTCAATTGTACCTTAAAGACTCTAGTTTGAAAAAGTTTAAGAAATATAACAATATGCTCAGATTTTTGTTTCTGAAAACTTTACTCTCTGTAATGTGAATTATAAATATGGGATGTGCAAGACTGCAGAAAGGGAATCTGGGACACACGAAGTAGTCCAGGCATGAGGTGAATGGTGATCTGTGATAGCTGTGGTGAGTCTGAAGGAGAGGGGGCAAGTAAGAAACATTTTGAAGGGAGAATTTAGATTTGAGTGGGGTCCTGCACCCCCGGCATACAGTGCACATTGCACAACCCTACACAGTCTCCCCACTCTTAATGCTTACTCATCTCATTCTGGTGGAACTAAACATCCTTTCTTGAATTAAGTATTCTGTACTTCTACATTTAAAATTATTTGAGCTGGGACTATGTCTTTGGATTTTCTATCCCTAATAGCACCTACCAGAGAGAATTATACATAGTAAGCATTCAAAACTAGTTATTAAAGATTATTTTTATATAACATCTACTTTGTTCTAAGAGCTTTGTGTATATTATTACTTCACTTAATGCTCACAACAACCCTACAAGGTGTACGCTATTGTTATGCCCCCTTTTCAGATAAAGAAGATGAGTCACAGGAAGGTTAAATTACCTGCCTAAGGCCACACACCCTGCAGTTAGTGGAACTGAGATTCAAACCCATGAAGTCAGGCATCAGAGTCCCAGCTGTTAACCAGTATGCCAGACTGCCTCAAAATTGGAATCACATTGTTTGAATACCATCCAGCAATCTGTAAATTTAAAGCATTATATAAAATGTTCTAGTCTCACAAGAATAAATGTAATATTTTATTTGATTTGTGTGGAACAGCTAATGAGTTTGCTTTCTAATGTTTTTTGTTTTAATCCTTTTAGAACCAATTCGAAGATACAAAACTTACCACAGTGATATCTTCAGTACCTCCAGTGAAAGTCCATCCATTATTTCCTCTGACTCAGACTTCAGACAAGGTGAGAAGCATCTCAAAAAGCAAAATGTTTTTAAGAAACCATGATTGTTGTTCTTTTTCAATAGCACTTAGATACGAGGTGGCAAAAGAATAATTCTATATAAAATCTAAGAATTATAATATTTAACAATATTATAAGAGCTTAATAGCAGTTTCATCAAAACAATGTAGTCATTTTCATAACAGAAAATAATTCAGTCTTTTAAAATAACATATGACTTACCTCTAGAGTGTAAGGACATTGTCATTAATTTGATTATACGAATATGATTTGAATATTAATTTGTATCTGCTAAATCCTTGAGTTTTAAATAAGATCACTTCATATTATTATCATCTATGCTATTATTCCTTTTTCATTTACAATTAGTGAGAAAAAGTGAAGCTTCAAAGAGGTTTGAATCTAACAGTGGTCTCCCAGGATTAGATGAAACTCCAAGTCAAGGCCATTCACACAGACCAAGGTAATGCAACCTGAAAAAGTAATAATAGTATGTTTCCAGTTACAGGTTTTTCTGTTTTTGTTTTTATTAGAATCAAGTAGAATTAAAAAAAAATTATCCTATTTTCTCCATTTTCCTTTTCCTTTCCCTCCTCTTTAAGTTCTCACAAATTTATTCAGTCATTTGAAAGACTTTGTAGTAGTTCAAGTTTGAGTTCTTGGAATCTTTTAAAATTAGAGTTGGCTCTGATTATTTATAGTTAGTTTGTTCTTTTTTTTTGGAATTGTCGGTAACTTATTAACAGGAAATTCTGAAGGTATGGCATTAAAAGTGTGAGAATGTAAAGAGTAATACCTCTTTTGAAAGGTTGAACAGGTTCAACAAGCAGGGTTTCACTAAGTATTATTTGTTGAATGAATAATGAGTAGGTTACTACTGAGTAACCTGTTATGTAAAAAGTTAATTATTCACTCCATTTTTCCTGGTTTAAAAGAGGTTATCTTGTATTTTTTTAAAGCCCAATTGGGGCTGTTTAGAGTTCATTTCCATACTGAAATACTCAGCTTTCTTATAAGGTATTAAGTACTATTCTTGTTGCAGACTTAGGATGGTGGTATTATAGCTATGTATGGATTTACTCTGTTAAACTGAAAAGTGTCAAGGGAGTAATGAATATATTGATGTGTATTCTTTCCGTGTGTGCACAGGTCTCTTATGTAAACAAAAGCATGTTGCTAATATTAAGCATTAATTTGAAATTTGTAATATGATTCTAGAAAACCAAAGGTTGCTTCAGAATTTACACCCAAAGTACGAGAATCCTTTTAAATTCATTATCTCAGTTTGTTTCATTCAAGTGCCACCATATACAAAAGAATCATTTGGAAATTAACAAAAACTTGCCCCTTAGCTAATTAATTCTAGCAGACAGTGTTTCACACCTGTAAACTATTAATAGCCCAGGTAACCCTAGCCTTGTGATTAAAGGTGTAGACTCTGAGTAATTAAATACATTACACTAAAATTATCTTTAATGTTTCAACTTTTATTAAATTTATGTAATTCTCTCTTCTCTCTTGTACCTTTTTAAAATAGTCCATGATGTTTCATTTTACTCAGGGAAAGCTCTAATAAGTATTCATTTACCTCAAGTGAAGTTATATTTGCATAGTAGCATTTTATATTACTATAACCCCCCTGTGGTAATAGTGATTGTGATGATCCCATTTTGGTTATTTTGAACAAAGAGATAAGAGACAAAGTCAGGTATATGCTTGGTATTACACAGTTTTCTTAAAGAAGCAAAAGTGTTTGGGTATGAACACCAGGAAGAAGCAGATATTGAATTGCACTAGGCTTTGTGTTGAACTGAGGAAGTCACTCTTCTCTGTAATTTGGAGAGAACATATAAATAGTTAATATATTGCCCTTTTAACTTGATCAAAAGTATAAGTAGAGCCCAGCCTGGTGTGGCTCAGTGGTTGACCATCAACCTAAGATCCAGGAGATTGAGGTTCATTTCCCGGTTAAGATACATGCCCAGGTTGCGGGCTCCATCCCCAGTTGGGGGTGTACAGGAGGCAACTGATCAGTGACTCTCTCATTACTGATGTTTCTATCTCTTTCTCCCTCTCCCTCTCTCTGAAATCAATAAAAATATATTTTTTTAAAAGGAGTAGAAAAAACAATTTGAAAAATTATCAGGATTGTGTATTAGATTGATTTTATGGTCAGTTTGTTAGTCATATAAAAACATATTCCTCCAAATAAAATTAAATCATTTTGTGTGTCATATTTCAATCTTCTTGATGGGGTACCTCAAAAGTATCAAGATTATGAGAGTATCTTAGTTTTGACCAAGTTTTATATAGGCAACATTAACTCATCAAATCATATTTTAGTGATAAACTATCTTTTACTTCATCCTTTAAGAGGAAAAATACCCAGTGTGGTGTTGATAATATCTGCATTAGATAAAAGTTATAGGTGAAAGAAAAATATTTCAAGAAGCAGATTGTTAGGCCTGTTTATATGTTATATTTAATATAAGATGCTACACTCTACTTCTTTTAGAATGGGACTATCCATCTCCTTTATTTGTGCACAGAACAACATATTAACTAAAATACTGTCCAAATTCCTTATTCAAGCGCAGAATTTCCTGAATTTGTACAAAGTTTCCGATAACATCCTTAACATGCTGGTACACAATCAGGAGATCTTGTTTTATTGTTGAGGTCACATATTTGTGAGCACTATAAATAGTATTTAAACACTTTTGCAAGGTTCTTTATAAAAATTTCCACTCCCTTTAGTTAGAATGAAGTGGAAAAACAGATCCAGACAGTGCTATTGATTTGTAAAATGGGGTGGGGGGGAGATTAACAGGAAATTATGAGTCAGATGCCACAGAATGAGTCATTTTTGAATTCTGAGCTATCAAAAGTGTCTTTCAGTGATCAAAAAGGATATTCACAGCTGTTTGCCAAAGATCATGCCTAAGTTTTTTTCTGTGTTAACTTTGAAGTACGGTTTATACATAGTACAATTCCCATTGCTTCTGTGCCTATCTGCTTAATGAGGTAACTTTTTTTTCTGACTCAAAACAACCTATTTATTTATTCCTAAATGATTCAGGTTTTCTGAGTTTTTTGTTTGTTTTGTCTCTTTGTTTTGTTTATCACTCTAACTTTTCAGTCATTATAGGAACTTCTACCAAATATTGTGTTGGGACAGATAAAATGATAATCAGTTTTTTGCTTCTTATTTGTAGCTCTGGTATAAAATAATTTGAAAGAAGGCTAATATATTTGATGAAAAATAACAGATGTGAACTAAATATATACATTGAAATTCTTTTCATTTTCCTTGACTCTCATTAAGTGAGATTCATGAGCTGAAAATTATATTCAATCATTTGCCCAATAAGTGATTGTTGAGCACCTACCATGTACTGAGCACTTCTAGATACTGGAGATAGAGTCATGAACAAGACCAAAAACCCCTCATGGATCGTTCTGGAGCTGAGAGATTGCCAATAAACGTAAAACACTTAGTGGCATATTAAGTAATGCACCATTAGAGAGTGATACTGCTCTAAAGAAAAATAAAGCAGGCTAAAGGGATAGAGAGTGCAGGGGTATGATACCCAAGTGCTGTGTTGTATAGGTAGGATGATCAGAGGAGGCATCTCCCAAGAGGTGATATTTGAACAGAAAACTACTTGAAATGAGGGAATGAACCATGCAGATATCAGGATCGAGAGGGTTCCAGACAAAATGAACAGGAGGAGAGGCCTTGAGGAAGATGTATTACATGTTAGAGGAACAGCAAGAAGGTCAGTGTGGCTGCAGCAGAGTGAGTGAAGGGCAGAGTGGATGGTAACTAGGACCCAAATTGTGTCAGACCTCAGAAACTGAAGTGAGCACTTTGGATGTTATTCTAAGTATAATCAGAAGCCATTGGGTGGTTGAAAGCATAGAGAGCCAGGATCTAATTTACATTTTAATGGGATTACATAGGTCTGTTCTGTGAAGAACAGATTTACAGGAGCAAGAGACCAATTAGGAGGCAGTTACAGCACTCCACATCAGATGGATACAGCACAGGTTGTTAGTGATAGTCAAATATAAATATATTTAAGGTTGTGCCTTCAGGATTTGCTGCTCTATTGGATATGGGATTTGCAAGAAAGAGGAATCAAGAATGACTCCAAGCCCCAGCGCCTGTACTAATGCACAGTTTCATAAACCGTACTGCTACCATTAAAAAAAAAGAATGACTCCAAGTTGTTTGCCAAGCAATCAGAGTGATTGAGAGAAGGGTTGGATGTGATGGGGGGAAGTATCAAGAATTTGGTTTTGGACATAGCAGGCTAAAGATGCATATTAACATCCAAGTCACACACTCACCTACGCAGGTAAATAGAATTAGAACTCAGGGGAGAGACTGGAATTATAGGAACATATAACGTCACCAAGGCCATGTGACTAGATGAGATATAGGTATGGAGTACATAAGGAGACTAGAAAAAGCTGGAGATCTGAGCACTGTTGTAGTCTAACATTAAGAGATTAGAAATGAAGGAGGATCCAGCAAAAGACATGAAGAAGGAGGAGCCAGTGATGAAGAAGGAAAATAAAAAGAACGTGATTTCCAAGAGTAACTGTTTCAAGAACAGGAAGGATTGAACAGCTATGGCACATGGTGCTTAGAGGTCAAGTAAAATGAAAATTGAAAATTATCCTTTGGCTCTGAAGAAGTCAGTCATTTTTGTGACTAGTTTTGGTAGAATAAAAGGGACTAAAACTATTGGTCAGAGTCTGAGAGAGTGGTAGATGAAGTAGAGGTAAAATTTATTTATTTTATTATTTATTTATTTATTTATTTATTTATTTATTTATTTATTTATTTATCTTTCTTGTTGACAGTATCATAG